CGTGCAAGCCGTCGTTTTGCATAAAGGCCTAACAACGGCTGTGCATTTGGTGCAATGGCAGGCGGTCATCGGAAGTTCCGGAGCGCTCATGCGTTCGAAAAAAAGGCGAAAACGGCGTCCGAGAGCCCGCACCTTATCACCAGCGAGGCCTTCTGCCACCGAAAAGTCGGAAGAGGCAGGCTGTGCCAGCGCTATCACCGCCCAGGCACCCGCGATAGCGGACGCGATAGCCGCGTCCCAAGATCACACGAGAGCTGTGCGCGTCGACACTTCCCTGGTTTCCGACGCTGAAAAAGTGGCCATCGAGTGTCGTGTGAGCGATGTTCTGCAAGATCTTTCATCGAAGTCTGCCACAAAACGCAAGCGGTCTTTTTTTTCGAGACTCGGATGGAGCCGCAACGCCTGGTACGCCGTTCACCGTCGTTACTTAGAGTTGGTCAACGAACTTCTTCAGTGTATGAAGTGAGGTGTGTGTGGCGGGCCTGGCAGAATCTCCAAGGAAGACCGCGAATATGGCATAGCTGCGAAACGTGTTCTCACATGTGACGAGTGCGGTAAACTGAGGACCGTATGGAGCTCGCCGAGAGCAGGGGGGACGCAGCGCACGGCCCCTTCGAAATTAACGTGCTCGCGGTTCGCGCGGCAATGAGCACAGGAAACGGGCAAACTGCGCTCAACGAATTTTTTTCCGCCCTAAATATTTCACGGAGAGGCTTGCACACCAAGACATACCAGGATTATGTGAAATTGAAAATAAACCATGCCGCGCGCGTTATTGATGACTGCGTGAGCACCGTGAAAACGGTGTATTCCGAACTCAACTATGAAAATCCTGGAAATATCGCCGTTTCCTTTGATGGGACTTGGCTGACCAGGGGCCATTCATCCCATATTTGTGTAGGGACCGTGATTGAACTATTCACGGGTTATGTGCTCGACTTCGTCGTCCTATCGAACTTTTGTTTGGGCTGCCAGCTAGGGCCGAAGGAGGACAACCCAAGGTATGCCGAGTGGCTAGCTGGTCACACTTGCCAAAAGAATACCTCCAGTAAGCCAGGACAAATGGAGGTGGAAGCAGCACAAATCTTATTTGGCCGCTCATTGGAGAGACATGAGCTCCGCTACACAACCATGTTGCGTGATAGAGACAGCCGGGCCTTCAACAGTCTGCAGGAGGCACAGGTATATGGCTTCGTGCCAATAGAAAAAGAGGACTGTGTCAACCATGTGCATAAGCGCATGGGCACAGCACTTCGAAACCTCCTGCAAAAACAAAGAGCCGAAGGAAAGCCAAGCTTTGGCGGCAAGGGCAAACTGACAGGCGAGCTGGTCACAAAGCTCACGTCATATTATGGATGGGCTTTACAAAGCAACCAAGGAAGCATTGAGGCCATGAATAATGCTGTCTGGGCAACCTTTTATCACGTAGCATCTACTGATGCAAGCCCTCAGCACTCTCACTGCCCAACTGGTGAAGAGTCATGGTGCAAGTACAACAAGGCTGTTGCCAAGCAGGAGACTCCTCCGAATCATCGCTACAACCTGCCGGAGTATGTGGTTGATGCCTTGCGGCCTATTTACACGTGCCTCTCTGACAAGAAATTGCTGGAGCGTTGTCAGCGAGGCAAAACACAGAACCCAAACGAGAGCCTGCACTCCGTCATCTGGTCGTTCGTGTCCAAAAACAAACACGCGTCGCTTTTCAGCGTTGAAGCTGCTGTAACCGAAGCTGTCGCAAGGTTCAACGCTGGCAAAGGCAGAGCAGATGCCGCCATATTGAAGGAGCTGCACCTGCAGCAGAGTGTTGTGGCCGCTGAAAGATGCTCAGAAAAGGACAGTCGCCGACTAGTGGCATTGGAGAAGAAGCATGAGCATGCTGAAAACTTCAAGCATGCCATGAAAAGAAAGCGCACCAAGGAGAATGATGATGACTACATTCCTGGTGGTTTCTAACATGGTTAATACACCGATTCACACCTTTTCTTGTTAAATATAAGTGCTCAGCATGTTCCTAAAATTCTTTTCTCGTTTTCTCAAAACAACATTTTTCATCAAACCCTGAGCCATTGCCCACAGTATCTTTTGATGTAGCAGTCGGATTTTGATAATTCTTGCAGCTTTTGAAAGCTTATACTTTGATTAGTGCAAGAAAACCAAAAAAATATAATATTTTTGTTTACAATAGTGATTTAATTAGCAACAAACTTCAGCAACAGTTTCAGATTTCTAATGAGTATATTTGTTAAGGCCATAACTCTGGTACCAATGAAGCTAAAAATAAAATTATGGTTTTGTTGCACTCCCTGGCCTTCATGGAGTGCTGTCATATCAAATTTGTAGCAATATTTTATGAGGAAGATGTCAATAGGCTGGGCAGAATGCAAGTTTATGTAACAGTCAATATTTAAAAATCTAAAAGTGATAGCAAAAAACTAATTGCATATTTGTTTTCAGCTGTGAAAAATATATATTGTATTAAAATTTCAGCTGGAAATACTGAAAATTAAAAAAAAAATTTGCAGAGCAGTGTCTCCCCTTAAGCGAGTTCATAAATCGCATGCTTGTTATAATCGAGTACGAAAAAAAGAAAATGAAAACGGTTATTCCATTGCCATCGGCATTTCCAAAATGGCCGCCCCCTACATGCGTCAGCATGGCGCATCGGCCATTTCTGCCTATGTGTTGCCCATGTGCGGCACTTCGTACGTGTGCTAAGGAGTTCGTCATCTTGTAGTGCATTAGCATCGACGGCACGGAAGGGCCGACTCTAAAAACTCGACGAGTGCACCACGATGCTGCTTTTAAAAGAAAAGTCATCGCGTGTGCCGAAACGGACGGAAATCGGGCCGCATCGCGGTCGTTCGGAGTTCCCGAAACGTGCACGCGGGACTGCCGGAAACAAAAGCAGAATATTGTCGACAGCAAAGATTCACGCAAAGGCTTCAGTGGACCACAGCAGGGTTGTGGTTTCCGCAAATTGAAGAGCTGCTCAGCCAGTATGTGATTGAGCAGTGAACGGCACAGCGACTCGTGACAATGACACAGAACTGCTCCAAGTGCAGGCTATGCAGTTAGCCTTAGAAAAAGGGCTAACGGGGAGCCAGTTTAAAGCGAGCAGGTGCTGGCTAACTAACTTTATGAAGAGGAAAGGCTTTTCCCTCCGAGGGCGAACGGGCATATGCAGAAAGATGCCGGAGGAGTACGAAGAAAAGCTTCACAGTTTTCAGAGGTTCGTCCTAAACTTGCGGCACAACAACGGCTACCTGCTTGGGCAAATCGAGAATGCCGATCAGACGCCTCTTTACTTCGACATGCCTGGCACCACAGCGGTCGGGAAGGAAGGGGCGAAGAAAGTTCGCGTGCTGACATTGGGCCACGGTGAAACTCGAGTGACGGCAATGCTCCGTTGCATGTCAGATGGACACAAGCTTCCCCCGTACCTCATATTTAAACAGAAGACGCTGCCGAAAGGAGTCGTTTTCCCGAGTGGTGTGATCGTGCGGGCCAACGAGAAAAATGGGTGCACGTTGCAATCGATGTCTTACTTTTTTTTTTCGTCGTGGAAATCAAGGGCACAGTAGAATCGAGTAAATACGGTAATCGGGAAGCTCAAGAGCCCGAGGTGTTTTAAAGGGGCAACGCTGCCAGTGTTATACGAAGCCAACAAAAAGGCATGGGTAACGCAGCAGTTGTTCGAGAGTTACGTCCTCAGGTTGGACAGGAAGTTTGAACAACAGAACAGACGTGTTCTGCCCTTCGTTGACAACTGCACTGCTCATGGTCAAATCAATAAAATGAAGGCTATCCAGCTGGAATTCATGCCGCCCAACACGACTGCGATCCTCCAACCGATGGACCAAGGCGTTATCTGTAATCTGAAACTTTTGTACCGTTCACGTATACTCAACCGCATGGTGCTGTGCTCGGAAAACGGGAAAGACTACAGCATTGACCTTCGGTCTGCTGTAGGAATGCTTGCGGACGCATGGAAGGCAGTAACGCAAGACACGCTTCGCAACTGCTTTCGCCACGCAGGTTACGTACTCGACACAGAGGCAGCAGACTTGCCTGAAGAACGCAACAGCATGACTGACTTGTGCCCTCTCATGGACGATATTATCAACGACCTTCGCTCTGATGGTGCTTCCATACCAACGGAAATAACTTTTGAGCGGTTCGTCGACGCTGACAACGAGCTCAACTTCTGCGCAGAGCTAACCGACGACGAAATAGTCAGTCAGGTTATGGCGGATTTAGAAGACTCCGATGTCGAAAAAGAGGAACCAACGCCTGCGCCACCTACGACCGCCGAATCGATGCGAGCATTGGTGACGCTGTCATCAGTGTACAGTGATGACATGATCCTTGCTCAGATCGAGGCGAATGTGATCACATGCAAGCGGACGCACGCCGTTCAAACAAGAATCAACAAGTTTTTCAAGCCAGTGCAGCTCTAACACAGGCAGCCCTGACGACAGCCGGTGTCGGCTGCATGCATTCTTTTTAACGGTTCTTTTCAGAGCCACCTCACTGATGCTTTGCCAGAGTTCCGGAAGTCTGGTACTTCGACCTTGACCCTCTTCATCCGAGAAATATTAATGAAATAGTGCGTTTTTTGCTTGCATTAAGAAATATTAGCAAAATGGTGTGTTTTTTTTGCTTGCATTGAAAATTATCAGTAGAATAATGCTTTTTTTTTTTCTTGCATTCATTTTTTCGAACTGCTCGAATTTTCGGATAGTATCTCGCTCCCTAGAGGGTCTGAAAAATCGGCAGTTGACTGTATAAATCAAAATTTTCAGCAACGAAATTTCACTATTTTTTCGTGCATCCCATCGATTTCGTTTTTGCAGGATTTGGCTGCACACATTTGAACTACCAGTACTTACGGCAGCAATTAAAACCAGCAAAGCTGGGTGCCACATCGTAAAAGCAATCACAGTCACATTGTTGCCGGGGCAACAGTTGATAAGAGAGTTGAGATCAGGAGCCCGACATACCCAAGGGCTCTTCCTTCTCCACTTTGGAGGAAGTGCAAAGGTTCTCGGGTCCGATTGGTCCTTTGCCATCAGGGGTGCTCTTGCCTTTGGGCTTGCGCTTGCGAGTTTGGATGCTCTCCTTTCGCATTGCCAAAGGCCGGTTTATCTGTGCAAGAAGAGACACCAGCAGGTGGATGCCACAGCGGTTAGCTTGAATAGCACACCCCTGATCACTAAGAATAGATTTTACTTATGCCCAGTACTTAAAAATGGACACTGAAAGGCATAACGTTATTTCTTACATTGATAAATTACCCGTTCACAATCCCAAATATACCCCGCTTGCGGTGAGAAGATGCTTAGTAAGCGAGAAAACGCGCATAGAGAAAATGTGGGTAGCGATGCCACCTTGAAATTTCCACACCACTCGCTGTGACATCGCACATTTGGACGGCGCCTACTAAGACCTACATAGTTACTGATTGGTGTGAATGAAGTACATTGTTCTCTGAGGAGGACAGAGATTTAACATACTAAGTTTCAGAAAACTTAGTATGTAGAGCCAATGGCACTGGAATAAGTAAGAGATTTTGGTTTGAAGAAGTGGTTTTGGCACGAAATTGAGATTTTCAACTTGATTTTTTCCTCCATAAATAAACCTACGATGTTGAAATCAACAACCTCAGATTTGTCGCATGAAAATTTATTAATCTAAGCAGATTTATTATTTCTCTTTAGCGTCCCTTTAAGAACACAGAATTTAATTTGGCCTGTGGTGGCATGAATGTAGTTACTGTATTTTATTGCATAAAGATTGTACTAGCGTAATATAATCATTGCACCCCTGTATTTTGTCAAATTTTGTTTCCTCTTTTTTGCTGCATAACGATAAAACATTAAAGTTCGCACACACCATCTACAACGCTTTCCTTGTTCTTGCGAGCCAAAAACATGGCCTCTTAGATGTTAACAAGTGAAAAACAGTGCACACTTTACGAGGACGGATAGAACAGACACAGTTGTGATGCAGCCGTCAAAATTCTTTCTTTTTAAAGAGATCTGTGTTTGCAGTTTGGTGATAGACTTCACGACGTATTTAAAAAAATTGAGCAAAACAAAAGCAACAACGGGAACAAAACTTGCCTGTGCATTAAATTCGAGTACGTAACCAAAACCACATTTGTGGCGCCAGCACTTCTGTCGGGAGGTCAGGCACTTTGTCACTGCCGTCACACAAAGGCGACTTAGCACACTTTGTACTCAGTCCAAGGCGGGAGAATTCGTAAGGTGCCTAATAACGGTTCCAGCGATAGCACCTCCGTTAGAGGGGGTCAGGCACATTGACATCACACTATGACAACCAAGCACATTTTGTCATCGGTTCGTGTTGGTAGCATTGGCATGGAACCCAACGTTGGTTCCCGTAGGACCTGTGATGACATTGCTGGTCCCGACAACGAATTTGACAAAGAAGGCAGCTAGGACTTGAATTATGAATTGTAGTAGAAGTGAGGGGTCAATTACAGAACGACAGAAATATGAAAGGGTGGGGAGTGCAAATTTTATGGCACCTATCTAATGTAAAAAGGTTTCCTCTTTGAAAAAAAAAACAGCTCGAGTCATATTCACACTTTTTCATTTCAATAAATCATTTGGAATGAAAAATATGTTCTATCATTATGTGAGCAAATAAAGCACTTAAAAAATATTCCAGCATATCAACAAGGTGAATGATGACGAGTGGGGCGAAGTGGAAAGATAGACGGATACACGAACGCACGGACATACGGAAGCACGGGAGGACGCACAGAGAGACTGATGGAAGAATGTAGGGACGGATGCACGAATGAACGCACGGATGAACGGAAGCAAGAACGAACGAACGGATGGAAGTGTGGACAAACTCAAGGACGCTTCACTCCACTCATAATCATTCACTCCATGTATATGCTGCGATTTTTACTATTTATCATACTACAAGTAACGTCCTCTAGTATCGTACCATAAGAATTTTTCAGCTTATATGCTTTTCGTTATATGTACAAGTACCACCCTCTATGGCCGGTTCAAGAACTAACGAGAGGTGGCTACATACGATTTTGACGGGACGCTGAGCCCACGCCTTAAGGAGCTTCGCCCCTAACAGTAGCTCCAGGGGGCAATAATCCAGGAATGTTGACAGGAATATTCTAGCGATCAATACAGTTGTTTCACTCACACTCGCTAGTGAAGCTGTCAGTACCGTACCATTTTAACTTTCTGGTGCACAGGGCAGCATTATCGTATAGTCCCAAGTGTAACAGTACACACTCACATTGTGAAGCTTGAAGTAGAGTCCACACGCATTGCAGACTGGTTCACCTTCGTTGTTTCGCCTCCACAAGGTAGTGGCCGTGGTACCACAGTTCGAGCAGCACAGCCCAGCGCGACGAGAAGTAGTCGGCAGCTGCTCAAGAAAATTGAACACAGCGTTTGACCGTTAACACTTTCAGGCACGACCTATGATTAACTGTCTAAATTCGTCAAATCGACATAAGATAACTTAGTGAAACACCTACCTCCCTTCTACACTTTCGATATGAATCCCCCTAACACCAGCCCATCTAAAGTGTGGAGCACTTTAGAGGACCTGCTTGTTGTCCATCTGCACATCTCACGTGGTGTGATCAAACCCACAACAGAGCGCTCAATACAGGCCGTAACAAGGCTGGCGAAGCTCAAACTTGGGTTAAAATTAACACTGTTTAAAATAATATATTTAATATAAATGGCCAAAAAACCCATTAAGGAAACTTAGATCGCTAAAACATTTCCGAAACATGGGACTGACTCGGGTGTGGCGCAAGAGAGGGCACCACAGCCTCATCGAGCAAGCGAATGCTCAGTCTCCTGCGCCGGCACTGCGTAGACTGCAGACGACAGGCACATCTACTGCCGTCAAGAAGGAAGTCGATAAAGCACAGCAATAAGTTGCGGCCACGCTGTACACCCGAGTATGTGGATCTGCGCAATAAGATTTCAGTCGTGCCGGGAGAAACCTACATGCTTCCTTCAAATATAGGCGTCATTGATGCCTTGTCGTACAGAGCAGTGGGGACTCTACAAACGGGAATCTCTCGGTGCCCATGCTATAGACTTCCTCAGGCATCACCTAAGAGGAGCTAACGTATTTCTTGGAATTTTTTTGCTGCTTCCTACTTTCTTCCGGCTCACCCAATTCGGCACACCGGCCGTTCCTTGCCCATCCCCCTCCCACATTGCAGTGCATTTTTCCTTTCCCCCTCTTGTTTGAGTTTGAGAATAAGGCACGAGACACGCACATGCACGCTTCACGTTGGGCAGTTTCAGCCTTGAAGAAGGCAAGCTCGCTTGTCAAAAGGTTGGCTCTAGCCACGTTCAAAGAATTTTCCGCCTCTTTCAGTTACCATCTTCCCTTGAACTCTTAGCACATAATTTCTGGACGCTCGATACACTGCGACAATACTGTTCCCGAAGTTTGTTGATTTAAGTGTCTTCTAGTAATTAGTCTAAATTCAACTGTAATTACATATCCATCTATCCAGAAGTAGTTCACATTCATTTTTCACATTAGCAGACCCAAACCTCGGGCTAAAAATGTAGCGCAATCTTGTTTTCAGCGATACTCATGTTCAGCGAAGAAAAACTATACTTTTGACGCGGCTTGTGGAAAGCTGCTTACAGATGACGGCGGCATATTTCAAGCCTTTTCTCAATCGCGCTAACGTGTACTGCGCATTTGGAACAAATACAGTCGCAAATTGCCGGGAAATTCAATACCTTCCCAAACCTAGTGCTCTCTAAACTTTTGCCGCTGACGTCTAGGGTTACAGAACCATCTAAATATTCTTGCAGTTGACCTTCAAAGCAAGGCACAAAGCAAATGTTGGAAATAATGAGCAAGGCTGGCTCTTCAATCCCCACTGCTTCACAAATGAGATGCTCCTAACCAGTACGTCTCATACTTATTTATGCACTCATTAGCTAAGTTTTGACCGTGAGCATCACAGCAGGACAGATCACAACGAGCGCAGTCGGTAGCATAGAGAGAAACAGCAGCGCATCTGTAACAATCCCAAACTCATCCAACGAGCAAAGCAGGGTGGAGGGCACCGTGGCCGGGAGAAGCATTTCGGGAATCCAAGCGACGTAAGCGACATTTCGTGCAGCAATACTCAAAGCGCACCACATAATTATTCTGCTATGCAGCTAAAAACTACAGTGGAACAGATAAGGTACACAACAGTGTAAACCATGCAAAATGTCAATGACTGAAACGATGCATAACGATGACGTTCGCCCGAAGAACCAAGCAATAAAAGGCACCGGCAAGGATTAGCACTGCCCTTGAACGCTACGAATGATACTCTAACAAAACACCAATGCAACTAGCCGCAAGGCCAAATAAGTACACAGGTTCGGCGATACACTGGTGCACCATGCAAGGCAACACATGCTATGCCGAGACTTACCGCCATAGTCGGGGTGGTTAAGGTGCTTGATTACAGACCCAAAGTTTGCAGGATCGAATCCAAACTACGACAGGCACGTTTCGACGACAGCAAAATGCCAGAGATTCATGAGCTTAGAGTTAGACGCGCGTTAAGGGGAGACGCGAGGCTGAAAAAAAAAAACTAATAATGAATTTTCACATCTGAATTATTTTGGTATGCTGGTTCATTACAGAACATGCTCACCAAGTTTAGTTATCAGCGCAGTACAACAAAATAAAATGAATTCTTTTCATGAGATGATGGAGCACCCTTTCTGTTGAAATCATCTTTGAAGCACTCTTTGCAAGACGCGGCTGCAAAGCAGTCATAAAGCCAAATATGAATTGAATGATCGTGTTAGAGCGCTTGTATTTCGGGCCAGCTGGTCACGGATGACTTCTTTCTGTCAACAGTATACTTGAGGATTAACAAATGAACTAATGAAAGATATTTTTATCCGTGGCAACGATAGACTCTCTGGAAAACGAAGTGAAGCTTTAACTGACAGAAACGTATCAAATGGCCATCTACCACTGCTGTCGCACCAACTCTGAGTTAATCCTGCTGTGTTTGTGTGCTACTCGGCTCACAGGTTCACTTTCCTCGCAATTCATTGCAATTAGCGGGTGGACCGCTTCGCGAGAAACATTCACAGCTCGAGCCCTGCGAAAAACTGAAGATGTGAATTATGGCAGAACAGCGTCGTGTTCATAAGGAACACTGTGTTAAGACAGCAGGTCGCTTTGGCACATGTTTTTTTGACCATAAAACTATATAGCATGTTGTGAAATCTTGCAACCCACTATGCAACACACAAAAAAATTCATATCTAACATGCAGTGACAAGAAAAAAAATATTCGCTTTTAGAACGATCACATTTTTATCGAAACATCATAAAGAATATAGGACTGGCATTATCCTGAACTGCAAACCATATAGAAGGTATATACAACTATACATACTAACCCTTACATTTTCATTGTTTTTGAAATATAGTTTTCCTTAGTTGGGGAGGGAGGGAATGCCTGACTGATCATTATAACAGTTAAATATTTTTTTTCTTCATGCTAATGTTTTGAAAAATTGGGATATGTTCCCAAAACCAAAAGATGATTTATCTCTGAAATTTTTATAATACAGTAAAAACTCGTTTATCCATATCTCGTTAACTCGAAAATTCGGTTAACTTGGACAAGCAGCACGGTCCCGGCAAAACTGTGTATATTTCAATGGGGTCGAATGTTCGTTAATTCGGCGGGATTTAGACACGCACCGGTTAACTCAGGCAATTCTAGAGAGGGCTATCAGGGTTTCATGCTTTCGGTAACCGATTCCGTTTACTGAAAGCATGAAGTCCCGGCTCCGCCGCTGTAACCGACGGTGGAATTGAAGTTTTGGAGGAACCGAAACCGAGTGAACAGCAGCAGACTATGACCATGATGATAGTGAATGAAGGGGGAAGTGGCCAAGTGGAGCTAGTTACCACTCGGCGGAAGCGCTCGGGCTGCCGGTGCATCCAGCTTCTGCGAAATGTGCCGCACAAGAGAGTTTGGGCAGCCGCGGCTAGCCCAGTTGCCCGCGACGCCTGTGCAAGTGCAGCTCGGGTACATCAGAAGAATTGACTATTGTGCGAGTTGGCGCTTTGACATAGAAGCCGCCGTTACATTCTCAGGCTGTGTTTGTGCGCGTTGATAATGGTGTGGCCGTTCGTAGTTTACTGACTGATGATGACATATTATCGGAAGTGCTTGAAGAGGATCATAATCACTGTTCCGGTGATGACATTCAAGATGAGCCGACGCGACATCGCACCGTGCAGGAGATTGCTGAAGCTCTTGCTGTCCTCGCAGAGTTCTGCATCAGTTCTCGCGACAGTGAGCATGCAAACCACCACCACATGGGAGTTGAAGAAGATTGTTCTAGCACTAATTCTGATGAGGAGACAGACTAAGTTGACACAGTTTTTCATGAAACAAAGGTTTGTCTGTGCTGAGCAGATTTTCTTTTTGCTTTGATGGTTCATTCGATAATCCGGAATTTGGTTAACTCGGATATTTTCACTGGTCCCGTGAGATCCGGGTTAACGAGCTTTCACTGTATTAGTGAGGCAGCTCAAAAGTTGAATTTCAGCCCGCATGCCCCTTTAGAGTACTAAATGTGGTTGAAATTTCCATACGTCTTTCCCAACGACGTGTCTCATAATCGTGTAATGGTTTTGGGACGCTAAATCCTAACAATTATTACAGATGCTGTGCAAGAGCTATCACTCATCTTGAAATGCTAGCATGTTGCTTTAAGATGCTACTGGCACTTTACAGCAATGCAGAGTGGTGCCAGTGGCGTGTTCTTAGCTGCACAATCACATGCTGTTAGTCTGAGGGCGTTTATCCACATTGACCCTCGACACATCAACACATTCTGGAGCCACCCCTCACCTCAGCAGATTTATCACGAACTGACAGACGTCTACGACAAAATTAACATCTACACTAATTCACCCAGATCATGCTTGGCATGAGAATATACGGTTAAACGAATGCGATTACAGTTTAACCCCTTTATAAGCGACACTGCTGTAACAGACACTAGGGTATAACAGACACCAGTGTGCTTACGTTAAAATATGGGCTGATAAAGGTATGCATACATGGTATACTGCCTATAAAAGACTCCTCCTAAAAAAGGCAAGCATAGCATTTCTGTGTATGTCTCTCGTAAAGGGGTTCAACCGTACTTTATCCATTTATGCGCCCCCTCACCACCTGAGCAATTTCGTGTATCCAGGTGGTTCTCTTTTTGTGTCATGCTATAGTACTGCAAAACCGTTACTGTAACAACAATATTGCAAGTTCTCCATTAAAACATTATTTTTGATAAACTTTTCGTGTTTGCTAATGCACAGGTTACATACTAATCATACAAGAATGAGTTGTTTGGAATTAAAATATAAAAATTAAGACACCAGACATACAAAAAATAGCAAAAAATTGGCCTGTTGCTGCAAAGTTAACGCTACTATTTAACAAAAATCATAGCGAGGGCACTGTTTATTTCCAGCTGTGTACGCGCACCCTTCGCTTTTAGCGTCGCAGTTTGATGCAAAACACCCGTCACGCAGTGACGCGTGCAAATCAATAAGTGGCCACGAACTGCGCAGAATTCTTGGGGATGGGCACGGGCACAAAATAATAAAAGTCAGAAGCACCATTTCAGCTGTACTGAACTCGGTTTGAAAAGGTTTTGATATGACAATCTCTTGACAACCAATTAAGTTCTGTTTGAGCTGCCAGCCAAGGGACGATGCTCAATTACGGGGACCTAATAATCACTGCACTGAAGGTTGCTTTCAGAGAGATATCGAGACACAGTGCCACACATACCCTTTATGGGTAGCTTACGAATTTCTTCCCCAACATTCAAACACGTCTTTCATATATCGTGTGGCAGGGCATCTTTATTCTATGATGTTTGCTAAAGCCTACATTAGATGTGCAAGATGTGTTGGTTACGAAGCATCTTTTCAGCTGCCGAGCTCTAGGATAAAGGTTTGACTTCCTGCCATAGCACCAGCGTTTAGACAAGAGCAAGATGCCAGTACACCTGTGGATTTACCTAGGTACAGATAAAAAAACCCAGAATGGTAAAAACTATTCAGTGTCCACCACTACACAGATCTATCCCCAGAAATGAGCCTCCATATTTTCAACACATATGCATGTTTCATTCCTTGTCGCAAATTTCTGGCATTTATGACACGCATAAAAAAGGGCTTGTGTACGAGAGCTGGCACTGGAGTTGGCGATCTTTGAAGCTGCAAGGTCACCCTTTCAGTGCACTTGACATAGAAAAGTGGCGGGAAGCACGGCTCGCTGGCGTTAAGTATGCACGATTCCTACTGGTTCCTCAGAAGCGCATTGCAACAGGGTCAATCGAAACTGTGGGCGGTCTATCAGCAGCGGTGCACGGTGAAGTAGTGGCCGGCATTTACACCGCCACCCCCGTGGTTTTGGCACATGTAACCCAAGCATTCAATTTCTTGATTTACAATGTGTGCCATGATTAGAGTAACAGGCAATCGTAGGCCACAAAACATTGTCTAGTGACTAATAGGACCAGCGTTTGTGTCGTGCACGTCTTCCATCGTCTCCATTTATAGTGCACCGCTTTCATCAGCCACCAATGATTATCAAAAAGCCGATACTCCATACTAATGCCAGCCACCCTATACACTCTTCTTTATACTTTTCTATATGGCCTCTAGTCTCTATATAATACAAGATACTGATTTCAATACTTTCAATGTGAAGATAATTCTCTACACTCTTCAATATATTGCCAGCCACCCGTTGGTGAGTTTCCACATAACGAACAGCAATGGCTGACGTTTAAGTTGAGCCTCCAGCTCCAACGAAACGGTCGTCACAACTTCATTATCTTTTGTCAGCTGCCTGATTTACACTACCTCTCCCAATCCTCAACATCAACAGAATTCAGGGAAGCGACCTCGTGTTTCTGAAGCAGCCAGAAAAGCTAGCGCATGCGGTCTAGCTAACTGACATAAGAGATAATTGCCAGAGCCATGAAAAAGAAAATACTAATACAGTCACATTTAACTATTATTATTAGCAGAAAAAAAGGCTATACGGAAAGAGAAATGTTTAATTGCAATCACAAAAAAAAATCTGAAGAATGATTTGTATGAAAGTGCCATGCTGTGAGTATTATGCAGAGGAAAAAAAAAACACAACTGAATTAAAGTGTAGTTATTCCTAGCTATATCTAGTTATTGCCTTATACTTTGTAGAGGTTAAATAGCACAGAAATAGTGCCTTTTTGCCTCCACTGTTGTATCATAAAAGAAATAAAAACTACATTTTAATTGCCTGTGGCCGCATAATATACTGCCTCGTGGGCCCCATGCAACGCACGATGCAGTTTTATGCAGCCATCAGCACGTCACAACTCACCCCCTCCCACTGTTGTTTCCTTTCTTTCCTAAAAGCAGATGTGAAATTTTTACCTAAAATTAGTTTGCACTTGTAACTTGTTTTTGTAAATTAAAACTTAGTGATTTCCATGCAGAAATTAAACGTGATTTCTATTTTGCGATTTCTGTAGTACATATGGCCAAAACACCGATTTTTTTTTTCTTTTTTTGGCCATTATGACACCCACCCACCGCCCACCACTATCCGGCCCCCGCTGTGTCAGCTTTATCCCAAGTGGCCGTTCGCCTGGAAATGTTGCCGTCCCCAGCTTTAGATTGATAATGTATTCCCCGAGAACTCTGATGTAATTAGTCTCACCATTATATTTTATTATTCAAAAGAAAATCAATGTCGACGTACCATAATTTAATTTTGCACCGAAATCTGCATGTGCGACGTCATGAGTTTTGAAGTGTACTTGTCACATTTTGCCAACATTAGCTTTAAGAAATTTCCCGAAACTTGGTAAGTTAAGTCTCTGGCCCCATCAGCAGACATTGTGCTTCATTTTTACCTAATCGCAGCTGTGAAGCCTTAGTAAACATAGTCAAAATTTTTGACGTCAGAGTATTTGGTGCAGAAATTTCAAATTGGCATCTCCACCTGCATATGACATACTTTTCTGTACATATTCTTACTTACCAAGAATATTTTCATTGCGAGCGTGACAATTTTGGAATTGTTAAAGGGTAATGCACCAATACTAACAAAAAAATCGTTTCCCTCTTTAGCCTCCCGCTAACAGGAACAGTTTGTTTACAGCACTTGCCCTTGCAGCTTTTAGTGCTATCAAAGTGTCGCTCACAAAGACTGTTCTCCTTTGGAATTTCTTGTTCACATTAAATATGTTCATAATTGTATCCTCCACAGCAGGCAAAAGAGGCAAGAAAGTTTCCCTCAACGTAGACAAGCATTAATATTTGCCGAGCTTTTATGTATCAAAACCACAATATTAATATGAAGGAGGACGTGGTGGAAGGTATCGGTAATTTCAGCCATCCAGTGTACTATAACGTACACATAAATCTAGGTACTACAAGGGCATGCGGCATTTCGCCTCCACCAGTGGCCACCATTTATAGGATTCGTTCCAGCGACCTGCAGGTCTGCAGTAAAGCACCCGTAACCACTGGACTATCATCATGGATAAATGTAGATCCATGTTTTCAGCTTCGTGGGGTTGCAGAAAATGAAGACAATGCCAGGACTAACCAGTACCATTCTCCGTTGTGGTTTTTGAGGGGATCTGGTGGAGCCATTCATCTTGTGGTACAGGCCGCACGCGTTGCACAGATAGTGGCCGGTGCCATCTCTGCGCCACAAGGGCGTGGAGATGGCACCGCAGTTGACGCACTCCCTGGCTTCACCGAACCCCGCATAGTCGGACGAGTCTGCAACGGAAGGGCCAGGCAGAGAGAGGGAGTGGCGGGGACGCCGACCCACAGCAGAACGGCACAGATTAGCATACGGTGACAAACTTTTTTTTTTACAACAGATTAAGATAGGTGTGATGAAAGATGAGAATATGTTTTTGTAACTGTAGTAGACTCTTGTTAAACAAAAACTGGAGGGACAAGGAAAACATGTTGCATAACTAGGAGGCTTGTTTACTCAAGGAGAAATAGAAGTGTGAAACTATAAAGTATGAAACTAATAGTATTAGAGGTAGTTGTCCTATTTAAAAGACCAGTAAACAATCTCGCGGTCCAAATTTTCAGAGGGTGAAATAACTGTGCACTGGTACAACGTGAACATGCTGCCACAAGAACTTCACGGTTAAGTACAGTAGTAAGGAAGTTACAGGGTCTGAAATGATCCACTTCAGCTGGTTTCAGTATGTTGCTCGTCCTTGCCTCCCTTTTCTCACTGCGAAGAGGGCCCTTTGTCACGACTACTCCCACTTTGCCAATGCAGCTAGAGATCATCAATATGTCGTCGGCATGCAGCCAACAACTGAGCAAGGTTTGCCTACGTGCTCACGTGTCAAAGCGGCGTGGTCAAGAAGCACAGCGCTAGGAGCACCCTTTCTTTTGCGGTAAAGTAGCCAGACACCTCTTAAAATCGGCAGGCTTTCGTTGGCAATGTCGCTTTATCAGTAGTCTCGGGCTCTACAAAACGACAGAGCGCATCACAGGAAAATGAAAACACTGAGAGCGCAGCCAAGGTGCTGTTTCGTTGTGCTAAGGACCTATCGACAAGCTTAGGGGTGCATCATGTAGCCCATGGACAAGATTTCGTCACTACACATGCAAGAAGAACTGGTCAATCGACGGAAAGAAGCGCGCGAATAGTTTTTCAAAATTTCGGGTCTGCACGGTGTGCTTTACCAAAATATTCGCAAAATGTGATCGCCACGGTACGAATTGGCGATCTTATTAGGGGCGTGAAAAAAAATGTAGGAGCCCGTTTACTGGCCCTCTAAGTGACAGTTCTGTCTATGAAATTTCGTTCACCGAGAGCCTACAGTACTCTCCTCAAATCCATCATTTCTGCGTCCTTTACAGCTGACTTACGCAATCAGCACAGCATTATCCCTTTAATTGGAACATTGTACACAAGGAGAAGTAATCTGATTTACTAAAGAAGAATTCTATCGAATTCGGCACAAATTAAACATAGTGGTTTGTTGTACAGGCCCATTTCACTGCTGTTGCATTGCTCAGGCGTAGGCCGTTGGTAGTGACTAGGGGTATGGCGAATACTCTTTCTTTCATTCGAGTGACAAATTTAGGACGTCATCGTAAAGGCTGGGCTGGTTTGTTTCATACTTGCAGAGTTGAGAATCGCGCAACTTATGGACAGGACAGTGAATAGGATGCAAGACAAGCACTTGTCAGTTGCAAGTTAGCGATTGTCTCGAGTCTCTTTCACCACAGTGCTTATGCTATGGACTTCATAACTTTGCATGCCTCACAATTTCTTTTCCTACTTTACGTATAATCGTACATTTCATAAAGAAGTCAAAGAACATTACACGCCTAGGAGCATGAGTATCAGTACATTATCGAAAGCCTTCACCAACCACCCAAGCTGCAGTGAAGCTCGCGTAGCAAAGCAAGTCTGGTGCCACTTTCAATACTGTCTTACTTGATACCTTACACTCACTTGCACATAACTACAGAACGGCTAGGACTATAGCTATACTAGCGCAAGCGAGAATCGCGAGCCTCTAAAATCACTTTGCCCCGAGTCAACGGCAGCGAGAAACGTGTCTAAGAGTGCCAATGTTGTTGAAATACTCATTTAGAGAGCGCAAAAATACTGTAATCGTTCTGTCAAATATTCTGTCATCAATATTCTGTCAAGTTATAAGATTACTAGCATACATTGTGACACCTCGTAGATAGCCAGAATTTCAATGTCACTGGCATAGTCTAATGTAATATTTAATAGTTGCTTGTACAGGTTGTCATAGGCATTGTTTCAATGAATAAGTATCAGGTATGCTTACACAATAAGCGGTGGTGCTCAATAAAACAAAAGAAAGTCGGACTGTTTGGTTATCATATTCAGCCAATTTTGGTGTTGCCTCTTCAGAAAAGTGTGTCTCTATAATAGTTACAGTGACAGCAAGTAAATTTTCGTTATTGATGGATAAAGAAATCTATAATGGCAACCAAACATAATTTCAACTCATCGTAGATCAAAGTGACATACTTTCACAAATGCCCAAATATATTTTTAAAGACTATCACCTGGTTTCATGCAACAATGCAGGTAATACACTAGACGACATAATGAGTTCTGAAATGCTAAGCCATACAACACAGTTACTCATGACACATGTTCGCAGGATCATCAGTACCGTGACACAAAGAGCTGGCAAAACAGTGTGAATACAAAAACAACAGCACTGTGAATCGTAAAGTTGGAGCAATAAAACTGCTCTGTACTACTGACACAAAATTATGAAAATGTTGCAAAAGTGGACATAGAACATCCAATGATGCAATATAAAAGTCATATCAAACTCCTGTTAATAAAACTACAATCGATAATATTTAACGAACAGGAATGAACTATTAAGCTATTAACAAGCCATATAGCAAGGTGTAGACAATAAATTCTGCATGAAAATGACTGCTTCTCAGTGAGGTCACATGGCTAACAGGTGTACAGTTGTAAACGTTTTGTAAACTCTTGACAACAAAAACACCAAATTACACAGATTAGGCTAGAAACAGCAGAATCGCTATATATATATGTCACTTTGCTCATCATTCAACACTTCTTGCTGAAATTAAGAAATAAACAGTATCCTCAAGAACATGTTTGTAGTCCAACAAAGAAACATTCAAGAAAGAGGCAGGCGTTTGATGTGCAATATACTTGTGACGCCCCAAATTGGATAGTCCTTAAAACAAAAAGTGGCATGCAAATACACCAGCGACAATTTTCTTGTTTCAATGCTACTCCAAGGGCTGACGAATATTCATCTATGCTTCCACACTACCTGGAAAGAAAAGAGAAAACGTCGACGTTATGACAAACACTGAATGAAGTACCCTGCTGGGAACCTAAAAGGCAGCCTTAATTAATCTGCAAGATCAAAATTAATTTGCTTATCATAACTACACGTGCTTCATTCATCCGGTGTCAGAGATGCAGAGAAGAGCTACATTCCTTAAGTGACACGACTACATACAATTGTATTTAGCAGGCCGAAATACACACGGCAGGCATACCCCATGCTACTCTGAATAGCACTTGAAATGTGATTTACAACCACCACCGCTTTCTTCATAGAAACCAAGTTCAGTTATGTAAAGCATGTTCTGTGTAAAGCCATTTACTTCCAAGACTTGTTTTAATTTACTCAATAATGTGCAACATTGAGGCGAGTGCCTGACATTCATAGAAATCGGGTGACTTGAGAGAAAGGGAAAGAGAAGGGGGAGAGAGTGAGTAGGAATACAATCGGGCATGCAAAATCGACATGCTGTACTGACCTGTACTATCACCACCGACCCACAGCATTCGTAGAAAAAAAAAGCACATCAAGAAATTAATAAAAAGAACTTACGTACGTGAAATCCCAGCAAAATGACAGCGAGATAAGACCAGTCCACACACACACACATCCAATTTTTCACGCTCACCCCAGTGCACATGGGGAAACTCGCAAAACCGTAGGAAACCCGCGCGCGCCGTCCCCAGCAGACGAACGTCAGTCACGTGACCAGGGCAGAGATCATCAATAAAAATTCGCACGTATCTAAATTGTTGTGTAGCGCAAAAAGGAAATCAGGTGCGGGTCGCTGTTCGTTCCGTACGCTCCGAGCAAGCGAACGGGCTTTGCAATGCGTGCGCGGCAATCATTCCACTTCTTTTTGTTAGGTAAGTACAGGCGCGCGTTACTATGGAACCCTGGCGGGCCCGACCGCGAACCTAACATCACAACCCGTCGCGTTCATAACACACAAAACGCGTACTCCCTTCGTTCTGCGGCTGCGCTGACGCACACAATCAAAACGAGAAACACTGATAGCACTTGTCAAGCGCGTCTGCGGTTTCGCGACAACTCTGCGGGGGCCGAACCAGTACGACAGAAAAAAAAAAAAACACAATACAAACCTGTCAGCCACAATGGAATGCGAGAAACGAAGCCTCCGACGGGGGCCCGTAATATGTAAGTGGTACTCACGTCCAACCTCGATCAAAGCACTGCGAGAAGACTTCCACATTGGAAAGAAAATAAAAAAGTACGGAAAGAAACGAAATGGAACAAAGCGGCTGGCCAGGTGTTTGTTTCCAGCGCGGATATTTTAGGCCCCAGCAGCCTTGCAACGTCACGACACACGGTAAAAATACGATTAAAGATGCGAGACGGAGATAAGCCTCGACTGGGGTTGGCTCCGCGATCGCCGGATAGTTGACGGACTCTAGCGAAAATCTGACGAAGTGTGCATGCGTGTTTGTGTTTACGGCGTGTCTCGCCTTCTTCGACGAATTAGTGACGATGCGTCGAGAAAGTAATAGCGACAACGGCGAGTTTACCACGCTTCTGTGATAAAGGCGTTACATGCACGATTCGCTTCACCATACACCACATCCTAGAACGAGACCGCTCGCGAAAACTAGGGGCAATGATAAGGGGGTCAAAACTCCTCACACGTCGAAATCGGCCCGGGTTGCCCGGAGAGCACCGGAGCGTCGACAGTTTTTCGTTATCGGAAGATCGCGATTGTCAGTCCGAGATAAGGGCGAGACGCTTTAACAATGGTTCGATTGTGAGATTTCAAGCGGCGATAGATTGCACAACGCGGACTAAAAAGAAATTTCGTTCGACGTGTCCGAACAACGCCGGGCAAAAAAATCGAACGCGTCGCCGCAGTTACAACATAGCCTGGCCGATCACAAAAAAAGGTGCGCTCCAGTGAACACCGACAAA